CCTTTCTGGGCGAGGCCTCTCCGTCGTCTGTGGTATTGCGAGCTGGTATTTGTTGGTTAAGCTATTTAGAATAGGGATAGCTGCGACTTGGTTGAACATAACTTACGTGTTGTTCCCATTGCCACTTCACTTCCATACAGTCTCCAACTTGAGGCGAGATATTCCTTCTCCGTTTAGTTCACGGTCAACACGCAGCGCCGCACGACGACAGTTGTTCGTTCGGTCAGCACCAAGAGCTGCAAGACGGCTTCCTTGCTCGTTTGGTCGATTATTCTCGTGTTGATGGTTTCGACTTTCTCTCCCGAATGATCGGGTTTTTTATTGGAGTGTATTTTGCTTTCAATTTAGCTTCCCAAATTACGACAAATTTCGAATGTTAAAATTTTGCGCACCTTTAACTAGTTTCAGCGCCTTTAACGAAAGTAAACACATGCAACTTAAAGGTGCTTGAACATTTTTCAATCAATTGCGATCCGAAACAGCAAAACTGACAAACTTGGACCGATTTACATTTGCTCCGTGTGTTGATTCCATTAAAACCACTGCTGGAAAGGCGAAAGCCGTCGCTGCCTCGTCGGTTGAAAGTTAACCACTAGTATCACGTTGCTGTCGCTGGCCAAGATGAATTCGGTTGATTTTTGAATCGCTCCGCAACCTCCCCCAGAACATTGAACGTCCTCTTCACTCCGTTTTATTCTCCACGGTAGATCGTCATCAATTCCTGAACCATGTTGTAATTCGTTCTTGAGAGTAGTACCTTTGCCTGCACACAAATTAGCAAAATCTTTGCCAGGAATCCCAATAAATTGGGAAACCAACCAAAACCCCACCTGACTCCGACTAAGCATCCACTTTACTGCTCCCGCGAGAGCACGCCTGGCTCTCGGGATGGGCACTTGCGCCTCTTGCTGTGGCCGCGGTATGGTGGGAGATCCTCTTCTGGTGGCTGTAAGGACCAGCAGCACATTAGTCAACAGTTATCGGGACGTTGTTGCCGTACTTTCAACCGATGGGACATTCGCTCTCGATGTGAGTCGAGCTGGAGGATATATATATATATATTAATGAAGATCTCTCTAACGTTATAAGCAGCTAAAAAAACGAAGTTACATTTCTCAGTATCGTTTGGATGTACAGAAAGCGCTCAAATTAATGCTAAATATTTTTTACAGCTGGTCTGTTCTCTGGATATTTATATCCAGAGTCTTAGTGGCTTCGGAAACCCTCGGATATCCTGTATCATATTATATTTGGTTACTTTTGTAATAACTCAATACCTT